CGAGCGCGGCGACGCGTACACGGTGTATCGGTATGTCGGTGTGTGAGTGTATCGATATATCGGTGTCGCGTGGTGTACCTGCGGCTGCGGCGTGGCGGCGAGGCGCTGCGGCCCGGGCGAGTAGCCCTGCGAGCGCGGCGACGCGTACACGGTGTATCGGTATGTCGGTGTGTGAGTGTATCGATATATCGGTGTCGCGTGGTGTACCTGCGGCTGCGGCGTGGCGGCGAGGCGCTGCGGCCCGGGCGAGTAGCCCTGCGAGCGCGGCGACGCGTACACGGTGTATCGGTATGTCGGTGTGTGAGTGTATCGATATATCGGTGTCGCGCGGAGTGTACCTGCGGCTGCGGCGTGGCGGCGAGGCGCTGCGGCCCGGGCGAGTAGCCCTGCGAGCGCGGCGACGCGTACACGGTGTATCGGTATGTCGGTGTGTGAGTGTATCGATATATCGGTGTCGCGTGGTGTACCTGCGGCTGCGGCGTGGCGGCGAGGCGCTGCGGCCCGGGCGAGTAGCCCTGCGAGCGCGGCGACGCGTACACGGTGTATCGGTATGTCGGTGTGTGAGTGTATCGATATATCGGTGTCGCGTGGTGTACCTGCGGCTGCGGCGTGGCGGCGAGGCGCTGCGGCCCGGGCGAGTAGCCCTGCGAGCGCGGCGACGCGTACACGGTGTATCGGTATGTCGGTGTGTGAGTGTATCGATATATCGGTGTCGCGCGGAGTGTACCTGCGGCTGCGGCGTGGCGGCGAGGCGCTGCGGCCCGGGCGAGTAGCCCTGCGAGCGCGGCGACGCGTACACGGTGTATCGGTATGTCGGTGTGTGAGTGTATCGATATATCGGTGTCGCGCGGAGTGTACCTGCGGCTGCGGCGTGGCGGCGAGGCGCTGCGGCCCGGGCGAGTAGCCCTGCGAGCGCGGTGACGCGTACACGGTGTATCGGTATGTCGGTGTGTGAGTGTATCGATATATCGGTGTCGCGTGGTGTACCTGCGGCTGCGGCGTGGCGGCGAGGCGCTGCGGCCCGGGCGAGTAGCCCTGCGAGCGCGGCGACGCGTACACGGTGTATCGGTATGTCGGTGTGTGAGTGTATCGATATATCGGTGTCGCGTGGTGTACCTGCGGCTGCGGCGTGGCGGCGAGGCGCTGCGGCCCGGGCGAGTAGCCCTGCGAGCGCGGCGACGCGTACACGGTGTATCGGTATGTCGGTGTGTGAGTGTATCGATATATCGGTGTCGCGCGGAGTGTACCTGCGGCTGCGGCGTGGCGGCGAGGCGCTGCGGCCCGGGCGAGTAGCCCTGCGAGCGCGGTGACGCGTACACGGTGTATCGGTATGTCGGTGTGTGAGTGTATCGATATATCGGTGTCGCGTGGTGTACCTGCGGCTGCGGCGTGGCGGCGAGGCGCTGCGGCCCGGGCGAGTAGCCCTGCGAGCGCGGCGACGCGTACACGGTGTATCGGTATGTCGGTGTGTGAGTGTATCGATATATCGGTGTCGCGTGGTGTACCTGCGGCTGCGGCGTGGCGGCGAGGCGCTGCGGCCCGGGCGAGTAGCCCTGCGAGCGCGGCGACGCGTACACGGTGTATCGGTATGTCGGTGTGTGAGTGTATCGATATATCGGTGTCGCGTGGTGTACCTGCGGCTGCGGCGTGGCGGCGAGGCGCTGCGGCCCGGGCGAGTAGCCCTGCGAGCGCGGCGACGCGTACACGGTGTATCGGTATGTCGGTGTGTGAGTGTATCGATATATCGGTGTCGCGTGGTGTACCTGCGGCTGCGGCGTGGCGGCGAGGCGCTGCGGCCCGGGCGAGTAGCCCTGCGAGCGCGGCGACGCGTACACGGTGTATCGGTATGTCGGTGTGTGAGTGTATCGATATATCGGTGTCGCGTGGTGTACCTGCGGCTGCGGCGTGGCGGCGAGGCGCTGCGGCCCGGGCGAGTAGCCCTGCGAGCGCGGCGACGCGTACACGGTGTATCGGTATGTCGGTGTGTGAGTGTATCGATATATCGGTGTCGCGCGGAGTGTACCTGCGGCTGCGGCGTGGCGGCGAGGCGCTGCGGCCCGGGCGAGTAGCCCTGCGAGCGCGGCGACGCGTACACGGTGTATCGGTATGTCGGTGTGTGAGTGTATCGATATATCGGTGTCGCGTGGTGTACCTGCGGCTGCGGCGTGGCGGCGAGGCGCTGCGGCCCGGGCGAGTAGCCCTGCGAGCGCGGCGACGCGTACACGGTGTATCGGTATGTCGGTGTGTGAGTGTATCGATATATCGGTGTCGCGTGGTGTACCTGCGGCTGCGGCGTGGCGGCGAGGCGCTGCGGCCCGGGCGAGTAGCCCTGCGAGCGCGGCGACGCGTACACGGTGTATCGGTATGTCGGTGTGTGAGTGTATCGATATATCGGTGTCGCGCGGAGTGTACCTGCGGCTGCGGCGTGGCGGCGAGGCGCTGCGGCCCGGGCGAGTAGCCCTGCGAGCGCGGTGACGCGTACACGGTGTATCGGTATGTCGGTGTGTGAGTGTATCGATATATCGGTGTCGCGTGGTGTACCTGCGGCTGCGGCGTGGCGGCGAGGCGCTGCGGCCCGGGCGAGTAGCCCTGCGAGCGCGGCGACGCGTACACGGTGTATCGGTATGTCGGTGTGTGAGTGTATCGATATATCGGTGTCGCGTGGTGTACCTGCGGCTGCGGCGTGGCGGCGAGGCGCTGCGGCCCGGGCGAGTAGCCCTGCGAGCGCGGCGACGCGTACACGGTGTATCGGTATGTCGGTGTGTGAGTGTATCGATATATCGGTGTCGCGTGGTGTACCTGCGGCTGCGGCGTGGCGGCGAGGCGCTGCGGCCCGGGCGAGTAGCCCTGCGAGCGCGGCGACGCGTACACGGTGTATCGGTATGTCGGTGTGTGAGTGTATCGATATATCGGTGTCGCGTGGTGTACCTGCGGCTGCGGCGTGGCGGCGAGGCGCTGCGGCCCGGGCGAGTAGCCCTGCGAGCGCGGCGACGCGTACACGGTGTATCGGTATGTCGGTGTGTGAGTGTATCGATATATCGGTGTCGCGCGGAGTGTACCTGCGGCTGCGGCGTGGCGGCGAGGCGCTGCGGCCCGGGCGAGTAGCCCTGCGAGCGCGGCGACGCGTACACGGTGTATCGGTATGTCGGTGTGTGAGTGTATCGATATATCGGTGTCGCGTGGTGTACCTGCGGCTGCGGCGTGGCGGCGAGGCGCTGCGGCCCGGGCGAGTAGCCCTGCGAGCGCGGCGACGCGTACACGGTGTATCGGTATGTCGGTGTGTGAGTGTATCGATATATCGGTGTCGCGCGGAGTGTACCTGCGGCTGCGGCGTGGCGGCGAGGCGCTGCGGCCCGGGCGAGTAGCCCTGCGAGCGCGGCGACGCGTACACGGTGTATCGGTATGTCGGTGTGTGAGTGTATCGATATATCGGTGTCGCGTGGTGTACCTGCGGCTGCGGCGTGGCGGCGAGGCGCTGCGGCCCGGGCGAGTAGCCCTGCGAGCGCGGCGACGCGTACACGGTGTATCGGTATGTCGGTGTGTGAGTGTATCGATATATCGGTGTCGCGCGGAGTGTACCTGCGGCTGCGGCGTGGCGGCGAGGCGCTGCGGCCCGGGCGAGTAGCCCTGCGAGCGCGGCGACGCGTACACGGTGTATCGGTATGTCGGTGTGTGAGTGTATCGATATATCGGTGTCGCGCGGAGTGTACCTGCGGCTGCGGCGTGGCGGCGAGGCGCTGCGGCCCGGGCGAGTAGCCCTGCGAGCGCGGCGACGCGTACACGGTGTATCGGTATGTCGGTGTGTGAGTGTATCGATATATCGGTGTCGCGCGGAGTGTACCTGCGGCTGCGGCGTGGCGGCGAGGCGCTGCGGCCCGGGCGAGTAGCCCTGCGAGCGCGGCGACGCGTACACGGTGTATCGGTATGTCGGTGTGTGAGTGTATCGATATATCGGTGTCGCGCGGAGTGTACCTGCGGCTGCGGCGTGGCGGCGAGGCGCTGCGGCCCGGGCGAGTAGCCCTGCGAGCGCGGCGACGCGTACACGGTGTATCGGTATGTCGGTGTGTGAGTGTATCGATATATCGGTGTCGCGCGGAGTGTACCTGCGGCTGCGGCGTGGCGGCGAGGCGCTGCGGCCCGGGCGAGTAGCCCTGCGAGCGCGGCGACGCGTACACGGTGTATCGGTATGTCGGTGTGTGAGTGTATCGATATATCGGTGTCGCGTGGTGTACCTGCGGCTGCGGCGTGGCGGCGAGGCGCTGCGGCCCGGGCGAGTAGCCCTGCGAGCGCGGCGACGCGTACACGGTGTATCGGTATGTCGGTGTGTGAGTGTATCGATATATCGGTGTCGCGCGGAGTGTACCTGCGGCTGCGGCGTGGCGGCGAGGCGCTGCGGCCCGGGCGAGTAGCCCTGCGAGCGCGGCGACGCGTACACTCCGCGCGGGGACGCGTACGCGCCTGGCGACGCGTAGCCGCGGGACATGCTCATGCCCGACACGTCCATCGGACTCTCCATGCCGCCGCCTGAACAAAACGTTTTCTCACAACAGTGTCATCGAGTATGGAAACAAACAAAAATGTACCCAACCATTTTCACTGCTTAAAAAAAGATCATAAATAAACTATTTTAAGCTACTGTCAATTGTCTTTAAGATTTAGTGCTAATTTTTTGTCATCATTGTTTTGACCCTTCGAGCACTATTAACCGGTATCATAAATCTCATACGTCTAAAGCAGTCGCTTCCTTTTTTTGCTACAATAACACTTCAAACGACTATAAACTGGTACTCTACATATACAAAAACAAACACCAGCTAGTCAAAATAATCGATGTCATACGTACAAATACTTTTCAGATATGAAATAAATGGCCTTGATTTTGAAATCGTATTTCAAAACCGATTGATTTTAAATTGTATATTGAGATATTCAGAAAACGTAGAAAAAAGTAAAGAGTGACTGCCATTTTTTTTAATCGTAGTTTCTTTTTCTTTTTCTTTACAAGCAAATGTCTAAGAGGCCGTATGGTCTATGAATATCGACTTTGAAAGCAATCAGTCCATTAAAAAGGGATTTCAGAATGACCGCCATGTGTTTATATTTTGACAACAGATTTGAACTTTGTAAATAAAAGGCCTTTAAGAGTCAATTTAGAAAAAATCGGTACAATAACAAAGAATTTCAATATGACATGGCAACCATTTCTTTTAATATTCATAACAGACTTGTTATTCATGATTAGAAAGATCTCTAGATATAGTTTTAGAAGCGATTCTTTGATAAACAAAATTATTTTGAAAATTTAAAAAACTACCGCCATTTTTTAAAATTTTGATCTTTCGATACTGATTTTGATCCATAAACAAAAAAATATGATTTGCATATCATTTTGTTTAAATTAAAACAGATATATACATCTTACTTTTGATATTAATTTTGGAAGAAATCGATCAATAACCCAAAATTTCCACAATCAAAGGAAGAATAAAAAATTACATTATTAGATTTATTAGATATCGATTTACGAATTAGTTGGTCCATATAAGATAAATAGACAAGAAAGACAAAAAGACGGCCATTTCTTAAATTTTGACTAGTTTCGTTTTTCAAGATGACAAGCACATGATTAAAAAGACGGCCATTTTTTAGGTTTTTCTACTTTATGATTTCTTATACTTACGCGAACACTACACATTTAAATAAAACTAATTTTACGGATTCTATCGCGTATATTAACTTATTTTATATTCCCGACGTTTCGAGCACTTTACAGCACCCATGGTCACGGGAGGGACTAAGGTGTATGACGTCCCAGTGTCATAGTTAGCCACGGTTACATCCAGACAAAGATGTTTTATAGGTCCAGATACCGTGTTGCTAACACACCGCAACGTTCATAGTGAAGACAGTCTTTGATTCATGTGTGCGTGAGTACCACGTGACGCGCATATCTTACGCACCATGGCTGCATTAATGTTCTTCTAATGGACTTCGGTAATAACAGTGCGAATCGATTACCCAAAAAATGTGGGAGATTTTATATTTCATTCCTATTGACGTACCTATTGATTATAAGAGTATAAAATGTATGTACGTGGCGTGTGCATTTGTGTGTGTGTGTGTATGGGGATATGGTTGCTTATGTGTGTTTTATGTAGGTACGAACATCGCACTAATATATTGAAGATATGTAATAAAACCTATAATTAATGTAACAGTTAAAATAAATAAAAAAGCACAGTAGATATTTATGTATGTAACATATATTTATAATCTATTAGTACTTAATATATACAGAGTACTACACTATTGTACTGTAGAACACAAAATATTGCCGCTTTTTACGAAGACATTAAATTATTTTTCAATCCTAAGTAAAATGACGAAAAAAAGTAAGTTTGGTTAAGCGTAAACTTCAGCCAAGAGATAGCAAAATGTTTAATTTTTTTAAATTGCTCCGTTCCGTTGCTGCGTGAAGGAAGGACAAAAACAAAGAAACAAAAAAATTACACTTTCACATTTATAATATTATATTAGTATGAATTGTCAAGAATGATAGATAAACTTTTAAAACCGGTTTACAATCGGCTTTTTGAGGGTGGAACTATACCGGTTACTACTATAACGGTTCTGAGTGACCAAAAATGATAGAAGCACAGGAAAATGCAATTTCATGCTGCCAGGTGTAGTTCAACCCTAACCCTTAAAACGGTTTAACTCTATAGGTTGGGTAAAATTTGTAAAATTAGACTGTTTAAAACCCCTATACAGATAACCTTTGTAGTTGATCATGACTAAATTCCGGAAGAAGTGGAGAGAGGTAGGGAGATAAGTGTAGATGAAATAATGAAAGCAATGAAAAGCATGAAAGCAGGTAAGGCAGCCGGATATGATAGAGTATCACTCGAAATGCTAAGGGCTGGTGAGGGTGTGGTTGCAGGCCTGCTGCACACCTTGTTTAATTTATGTTGGGAACTGAAACGGGTACCGGAAGACTGGTGCAAAGCCGTTATAGTCCCAATATATAAGGGAAAGGGGTCGCAGCAGGACTGTAAAAACTACCGTGGTATCAGCTTGCTTAGCATTGTGGGTAAACTGTATGCTAAGGTGTTAATTGAAAGAGTTATGGAAGAAACTGATGGAAAAATTTGGGATGTGCAAGCTGGATTTAGAAAGGGGATGGGGTGTACGGATCAAGTCTTTTCCATGCGCATGATAGCGGAGAAGTTTTTGGCTAAAAACCAGAAAGTTTTTTTGTGCGTTCTTGGACTTGGAAAAGGCTTATGACAGAGTGGACAGGAACGTGTTATGGCAAACACTGAACTCATTTGGGTTGAGCGCTGGCTTGATACAGGCATTAAGGTCTCTTTATAGGGACTCTAGTGCTTGTGTCAGGATCAACGGGGTCTACTCGGACTGGTTTGGCATTCATAAAGGTGTGAGACAGGGATGTGTGGCTTCCCCGTGGCTGTTTAACCTATTTATGGACAGTTGTTTGCAAACTTTGAAAGTTGAAGAATGTGGGTTGAGAATGGGTGAGTCAACCGTCAAATGCCTTTTGTACGCCGATGATCAAGTCATATTTGCATCGTCGGCGGCCGAGTTGCAAATGATGGTTACTTTAATGAATTGTTCATTGAAAGAAAGGGGTATGAAAGTGAACGCAAGTAAGACGAAAGTGATGGTTTTTGAAAGAGAAGAAAGTAAAACTTTATGTAAAATAAGAATAGAAGGGGAGTTGATTGAGCAAGTGGATGAGTTTGTATATTTGGGATGTTTATTTAGCAGGGATGGTAGATATGATAAGGATATAGAACGACGAGTGAACGCAGGAAATAGAGTGAATGGGGCTCTACACGCTATTGTGAGGAGTCAGAATGTGTCAACTAAGGCACGTATGGCAATTCATAATGCTGTGTTAGTACCCACTTTAATGTATGGTAGTGAAAGTTGGGTCTGGCAGAAGAAGCATGAGAGTAGAATAAATGCTGTAGAAATGCGTTCCTTAAGGAGTATGCTAGGGCTGAATCTGAATGACAGGGTGAGAAATAGTGTAATAAGAGAAAAGTGTGGTTTGCAAGATGACGTTGTGACAAGGATTAAGAAAGGAATGCTTCGGTGGTTTGGTCACGTAGAAAGAATGAACGAGGAAAGAGTGACAAAGCAAATTTATGTTGCAGAAGTGAACGGCAGGGTCGGGAAGGGACGCCCTAGACGAAGGTTTATCGACCAGATCGGCGATACATTGAAAATGGGCCAGATTAGGAGTACCCTTAACCGACGAGCGTGTATGCGTAGATATATGGATGTGAAAGAGGCGAGAGAGGTGTGTCAGGATCGCGCCAAATGGAAGTCCGTAGTCTCTGCCTACCCCTCTGGGTGACAGGCGTGAGTGTTTATGTATGTTATGTATGTATGTTGATCATGACATTAAAAAATGGTAAAACATTTCATAGACTAGGCAACACTCGAATATTATTGCGCAGTATTATTACTTGTATTGACATTTAGCTTTCGTATTCTTTTACAAAGAAATACACCATAAAATTGTATAGTTACTTATGAAAAGTGATGTTCTTATCCTTATCTTTTTTCCAAGAGTAATTTTTAAATGATTTAACAGCACAAACAGTCATTTGGCGAAATTAAAAACACCGGTGCGTGACGTATGTTCACAGCGAACGTCGCTGGCGTAATGGCGGAACGATCGAACGAATACGCCAATATTAGCGCCTTTGAAATGGAAGCGTTTTAGGCGCGCGTACACGGTATCTGGACCTACAAAACATCTTCGCATCCAGATTAAAAAAATTCTACTTTCATTTTTCAAGATCACAAACACACGATTTAAGAAGACGGCTATATTTTAAAAACTTTGAATAGTTGAAATTTTCCAGATGACAAGCACATTATTCTAAAAGGCGGTAATTTTTTTAAATTTGACTAGTTTGATTTTTTAAGTTTACAAGCACAAGAATTGAACATAGGCCTCCCCTATTGGTTGCATCATATTTGCAGTTTTTTATTTTTAGCCGTTATTAGGAAGACGCTGCTGCCCATCTCCTGATTTGTTCACTCTGTCACCTCTTTCTTACACCGTCAATACACGGTAATTTTTCTTATGATTGCATACAATTTTTAGTTTCTACTTTCTTAGCCTGTTATTATCTATCTGAACATTAATATAATAATTATGATTTTAACATTATATGAACTTACCCGTGTTTGGGGGCTGGTAATATGGTGAGCCGTCGGGCGGCATGGTCTGGTGGGTCTGGTGTGACTGGTGCGGGTGTTGCTGGTGCGGGTGCTGGTGGTGCTGGTGGTACAGCAGCGAGCTCTGCGCCAGCGGTGACATCTGCTGGAAGTCGCCCTGGTGTGGCAGGAACTGCTGCTCGTGACCCAGCGACGACATCGGCGTCAGTTGCTGTTGCAGCATGGGGTTACTCTGACAACAAAATGCATTAAGTCAATTCTCACTTTGTATAAAATTTAAATAATACCTTTTACTGTCTCGTAGGTCATGACCTTAAATGCGATTGCTGATCATAAGGTCCGGGTTCGAATCCCGGGTAGGGCAAAAATAAGTTATTGAGTTATCCTGTCAAGAAATTCTCAGTAGCAGCCTGGAGTCAGGAATTAGGCGGTGTTTCATTCAGTCGGTGGGCCTGCGCCTGATCTCTCTTCCGTCGACTATATCACGGAGCAAATACAAAGAGGAGATGGTATAAGCAACTGTGCACTGTGATTCTGACTAGGTCCTGACGTCATCAAAGTGGGCGTGGCTTTACTTAGTATACTGTCAGCGTTTGTCCTGTGCGCTTATGTGAAAATCAAATTGAAAATTGCAAATCGGTGTATTTTCATAGTATTAAGAAGAAAAGGATGAAGTGTTGTGTTTTATCACATTCACGCAGTAGCGGTATGCTGTGAATAAACAAACCGCAGCAGCCGTTAGCGCCTCAATTCAAATTCAAATTCAAATTTCATTTATTTACAAGAATGTAGTTACAAAAAAGGTGTTGTTGCAATATTAAGGCGCTAATACATTCTACCCACTATTGGGGTCTGCAAATATTTAAATGGAAATAAGTTAATTAAATTACACTACACCAACACTACACAGATTCTTCGCGTCACTATTGTTAAACGTCACTAATTCCTTCACAGATTCCGCAATGTAATAAGTTCTTGAATATCATAAAATTGTTTCTCCATTAACCATTTCGTCAGTTTCTTCTTGAATATATTTACTGGGAGATTCTTAAAGTTATCCGGTATTTTATTATATATTGTAATAGTCATAAATATCACACTATTTTTTGCTTGATTTATTCTACATGTTGGAAAGTGCAGTTTATTTTGATACCTCGTTAACATATGCGAATTTACTTCTCCTTTCTTTTTAAAATATTCTGGGTGGTATTAAACATACTTCTCTTATATATATGCAGGTTAGTGTAAGGATACGTAATTTACCGAACATTGGTTTGCAACTGTCCCTTTGATGTAATCCGCACAAGGCCCGGATACATTTCTTTTGTGCTACAAATACTTTCCGCACCTCGCAAGACTGTCCCCAAAGAATTATTCCGTAAGAGAGTATCGACGATATATATGCATGGTAGGCATTTATTGCAGCATTCATAGATACAGTATCTCTTAGGCGACGTAATACGTAAACGAAACGATTTAACCTATTACAAGTATATTCAATATGACTGTCCCATTTTAGACCTTCGTCTACCAGAACACCTAAGAATTTATGGTGTTTTACCTGTTCGATTACTTGATCATTACATTTTATGTCTAGATTAATTTTGGTGCAATTCTTTGTATAATATTGAATTATTTTTGTTTTTACTAAGTTTATTTTCAGATTATTATTTTGTAACCATTTTACTATATTATGTAATGCTGTATTTATATCTCTCTCATATGTATTTTTGTCCGTGCATTTAATAATAATCGTCGTGTCGTCTGCAAATAAAACTGTTTTGTGTTTCACTGATCTCGGTAAATCGTTAATATATAAGAGGAATAAAAATGGACCGAGCACACTTCCTTGTGGTACACCTGATTTATTAACTTTTTTCTCTGACCTATATGAGTTTCGTGTTTGATTTATCATTTTATGAATCTCCACATACTGATATCTATCATTTAAGTAACTTGCAACCCATTCTTTAGCAATTCCTCTTATGCCATATTTCTCCAACTTAAACAAGAGTAATTGATGGTCCACAAAATCAAATGCTTTGCTCATATCTAAGAATATAGTGGCTGCTGGTTTTTTTTTCAATAAAGGCTTGAATTATTTCTTTTACCATGTCGAAGCATGCTAAAGAAGTAGAACTATTTTTTCTAAATCCAAACTGTTCCCGACATAATATTTTGTTTTTATCAACATAATTTTGAAATCTTTCTAAAATTACCTTTTCAAATATCTTAGATAAAACTGGAATTAGTGCTATCGGTCTGTAGTTTTTAATATCATTTGGATCATCTTTTTTATATAACGGTTTTATAACTGATGTTTTTAGAACATGAGGAAAAGTTCCTTGCTCCATAGATAAATTGACAAGAAAGGATAACGGTTTGCAAATATGTACACTGGAAGCCTTTAGTATTTTTGTACTTATACCGTCTGTTCCTACGGAATTCGTGTTATTTAGGGATTTTATTACTTTTAAAATTTCGTCACTGCTTGTTGGTGTCAAGAATATTGTATTACATTTTTCCGTAGTCAATGTTGTTTTTATTTCAGTTGCTTCATAATTAAAATTTGTTTGAAAAATATATATAATTTATTAAAATATCGATTTTAATAAATTCATCCGCACGTAGACTTGAACTGGAGCAAACTGAGTGACCTTCCATCTCTTGTCTAATATCTTTGCCAACACATGCGCCACTATATTGGCCAACGTGAAGAGCCGCCTTAATATGTAACTGCGCACGCAAGTGAAATAAATGAAACTTTTATAATTTTATTAGTAAAAACAAACTATATTAGGTGAGATTTTTTAACTTATTAACTTAATAGTCATAACAGAATAGAAAAAAAAAATAAAAACAAATTCAGTGTTATTTTCTCATAGTTAAAAATGTTGTTGTAATCTTACAAACGCACGGAAGTTACGTTCTAGTGACCTGTCAACCTGGCACCCACACCATGCTATAACGCAAAGACTATATATATACAACATCTAACGTAATTAACGCACATTCTCAGACACCCCAATTAGTATATTATGTTATAATAAAAATACATACACTGACTTCTTAGTTAAAAATATTTGTGCATTGATTATTTATTAAATGAGTTATACTAATTCCGGAAGAATGTTGTGGTCACCGTACAAAACCGCGAACGATAGGTATAGGTCTTGCTAACCTAGTAGGTAGGTATTCGCTCGCGTTCGAGACGAGTTACCGCCGCCGCCGCTTGACACAACTGTAGGTAGGTATTAGTGCCGAAAAAAGCCGACAATATATGATTGGTTATGTTAAAGAAATACCTACCTATAAACATTAACAGATGTCAGAACTCCGTGCATTGAGTTATTTATTTAAGTCTAGTAAGCATTTGATTGCATCTTTCAATCACACTTTTCAAGCTTTGGAGTTTCAACTCTGAATAATTTTGTTTATTGATTATGATACAATGTCAATAAGCAATATTCGTTACAAATGTTATGAATTTGCATAAAATTTTAATTGTAATTGTAAATAATAAGGAACTGCTAAAACTAATATAATTCAAAGACGGCGTGTTTAAAAGATGTTAATCAAGATTACATTAATTTTAAGAATCAAATATTTAACTTACAGATAGCCTAAACTCTCATGCAACGTTGTATTTTAATATATTTTCAAAATGTCCACCACGGCTCCGTGGCGCAGTGGCTTAGCAATTGAGCTGCAGCGCTAAGGACCGCGGGTTCGAATCCCGCACGGAACCTTATTTGTATAGCCTACAAATAATTGTTCCGGATCTGGATGTTTGTCCTTGTGCAATTTATGTTTGTACACTGTCCCCACAATTCAAGAGAAAATCCTAGTGTGGAGGTTACATTTTAAAAAAGAAATAAAATAATTTAGAAAGCAATTCAGTATCATTTTTCACTATTCTAAAATCGTTCACTCATATAATTACTATTTTAAGGTCCTCGGCACTTGTTGTCTCACTAAGATAAACTAATGATTTGATCATCATCATTATCATTACAGCCTTTCATAAGTCCACTGCTGAACATAGGCCTCCCCAAAGGAATGCCACAAAGCACGGTCCTGAGCCACCTGCATCCATCGACTTCCTGCATGTCTTACCAGGTCGTCACTCCATCTCGTGGGGGGTCGCCCTACACTTCGCCTACCGATACGAGGCTGCCACTCAAGAACCTTTATTACCCATCGGTTGTCGGTTCTTCGAGCTATATGGCCGGCCCATTGCCACTTCAGCTTACTAATCCGTTGGGCTATGTCGGTCACTCTGGTTCTACTGCGGATATACTCATTTCTAAGTTTATCACGCAGAGAAACCCGGAGCATAGGCCTCTCCATAGCTCGCTGAGCGACCTTGAGCTTCCTCATACGGCCAGCAGTGAAGGACCACGTCTCAGATCCGTAAGTCATCACTGGCAACACGCACTGGTTGTACAATATCGTTTTAAGGTTTTGAGGTATGTCTGACGAGAAGATGTGTCGTAGTTTCCCGAACGCTACCGAACGAGACGAGTTGAATCCGTCGATTGACCTCTCGGTCGAAGTTGGACTTACCTAGTCGGACTATTTGTCCCAGGTAAACATACTCGTCAACAACTTCGAGCTTAGTGCTCCCAACAACTACCGGCATAGGTGTGACATGGACATTAAACTTGATCTTTGTTTTGTCCATGTTCATCCTAAGACCTATTCGTTGGGAGACACTATTGAGGTCATTGAGCATGGTGCTTAGGTCCTCCAGCGATTCTGCCATAAGGACTATATCGTCGGCAAATCGAAGGTGAGTGACGTACTCGCCATTGATGTTAATACCGTATCCTTTCCAGTCCAGAAGCTTGAAAACGTCTTCCAATGCAGCGGTGAAGAGTTTCGGGGATATAACATCACTCTGTCTTACACCTCTCTGCAATTGGATAGGTTTCGTACTCTGGTTCTGTACTCGGATAGCCATCGTAGCTCTACTGTACAAACACTTCAGCACTTCGATATACCGACAGTCAACTTGGCACCGCTGAAGGGACTGCAGCACCGCCCAAATTTCGACGGAATCAAAGGCTTTCTCATAGTCCACATACGCCAGACATAGTGGCAAATTGTACTCTTCGGACTTCTGTACAATTTGCCGAAGGGTATATATGTGGTCTATGGTGCTAAAGCCCTTTCGGAAACCGGCTTGTTCGGGAGGCTGAAAGTCGTCAAGTCTGCGCGCGAGACGATTCG